TAAAATGTGATGATGGCCGTGATTATTATTTCGTGATAAATTGTTGTTGTTTCGATTTTTGTTTTTCAAGAGCCAAACTAATTTATCTCAAGAGCAACAATACGAATCATCAAATGTAATTATCATTAACTAAACAAATGCTCAATCAGAATAGAAATTTTTTAGAGTTCATTTTAAATATTTTTAATATGGTGCGCCGCATCTACAGACATCAAAAAAATTGCAAGTCTTTAAACCCTGATAACTTTGGAAATATTTGTTGGCCCATAAAAAACTCTCTATTTTTGCAATCTTTGGAACATAAACAACAATGTAATAGAGAGAATTTTTTAAAGTAATTAGTAAAATAAAAGGTTATGTGGATATTACTAATTTAGAAAATCGGCACGCCTATCAAACTAATCCGACCAATCAGAAAACTAATATAATCAACTTTTATCACGTGATGCATCTAACAATGTTTTCTTAATCATTCAACATTCAATTATAATACCACCTACATCCATTAACATAAAATCTGGCAATTTTCTATGAGATTTATAATTTTTTTGCTGCAAATATTACAGCTTTTCCTGACAGCCCTAATCTATAACATCTTCTAACAAAACTTTCCAATTTTACAAAGTGAAACCGAGTTCAATGCCAGAGGAACAGTTCTCTCTAATTCTTTAAATAAATAATTACAATTTTTTCTAGTGTATTCTTTAGTTACTTCCCAAAAACTTTCTATATAATTTAATTCACAATGATATTTCGGATAAAAGTATCTAGATGATTTCTTAATCAGGAAGGATCACCATTAAATTTTTCGATGAATGGCACAAGCATTTGTTTAGTTGGTTATATACAAATTTTTAACCACACAAATTCTGTGTATAACTAATTCTGTGAACATTACGTAACACATTGCACCCATTATCATGCAAATTAGTAAAAACAAAATAAAAAATAATTCAAGATCAACATTATTTATATATTAATATTTTAAAATTAATTTACGCCGGTAAAAGAAATTTTTTTAAAAATTGATGAAACGGTAAAATGATTATTATCGTACTATTTTACGACCCCTTAATATTAATGGAAATATATATATATATATATATAAAAGATGACTTCAAAATCAAATATAAAATTCATAAAATTATTTATTATTTATTATAAGTATGAGTGATTATAATTATAATATAGATCCTTCTTTAACATATGGGCATAATTTCTCTGCGCTTCCTACAACTAATAATCAGAATGATTTCTCTACACTCCCTCTAACCAATAATTTTCATCGACATTCTAATGAAAACACTTTAGTATTAGATAATACCACAAATTATCGTCATCATCAAAATCAATATTTAAATCATGACGATATTATCACCCAACAATTTTCACCACCACCACCACCACCACCACCACCACAACAACAACAACAAAATATTCAGGCATTTCCAATTTATCAAAATATCGTTTCTGCTACCAAAAGCACCAGAGTTGCTGCAAACGTTGATACCACAACTACCATCGCTGACAATAACAATATGAAACCTTTAGTCTCGACCCCATTATTAAATAATCCTTCTTACGAAAACAATAACAATATCATTTGGCTTTTGACACGACTTGAAAAACGTATCAATCAAATGGAACAGAATATACACCAAAAGATTTTTGCAAGCAACACTTTATCACAAAACAATGCTTTTGATAATGGTAATAAAATCAGTAATGATGATATTTATAATATTTTGGGTAAACTTTTTACTCGTATAGAACAGTTAGAAACTTCTCAGATCAACGTTGAACGAAATCTTGCCGAGTTGAATAAATTTTATTTTAATCAAAATTAACCATTTTCAAAAAATCAAATACTCAAAATGGTTCTTTTATCATATATTATTATTATTTATTTATTTATAAAATATTATTATTTATTTATCTATTATTATTTATAAATTATGGCAATAAGATTGGAAAACGACCATTTAATACTTTAATAAATAAATTTATTATTTATCAAAAATTTCGAATTCAGGATTTCGCTTTAATTAATAGAGTATAATAAACGGCCACGCCTAAAGGTTGTGTATTACCAGCAGGAGGATATTTCAATGATCAGATGTCCATCAACATACGATAAACTTCAGAAACAGACATTAAATATTTAATTTAAACACGAGACTTGAGAAAACATCGCCATGCTTAAAATACCCCAGCCCGTGATTTAATTACATAATATTGCAGTTAAATAACCTCTTTGCACCATCCTTCTCACCTTTTAAATTGCTATTTAACTTTTTTATTATTGACAGAATATAAAACGGTGTATTCTTCCATCTTCTTCTAATTGTATTTTGAACAAAGTAGAAGATGTATGGAAATAATTTATAAGCCCCTCTAATTTTCCATTTGCCCTAACTCTTCACTCTCTCTTCTTCTTCTTTGCCTTTTCACTTTGGATGTATTCGTGCAAATTTTATATGTTCACGCTACTCATTTTCTCAATACAAGAAATTAATGTTTTACGAAAATATTGAAAAACTCCAAAAAAAATTTTTCTTTATACTTTGAGCGTGTAAATATTATAAAGCTAAAAGGTTTTTGCGTTTTTCTTTTAAATTTAATGATCGAACTACAATGAAAATAATTCAAGTTCAAGACAAAATTTAAGATTGTTCTTTACCTTCAGAAATCATGAAAATATTGCTTGCCTCTACTTTTTTAATTATAAATGTTTTGAAACTATCACCAACATTGATAAAAAAACAATATTTGAAAACTAAAAGTGCATTGATTCATTAGATATACAATAGTTTGGTGGACGGAAAAAGCGTTTTCAATTTAAATGGATCGCTGGTAATTCACAAAGATTTCACATTTAGTATAACAGCCGTTTTACAAATACTAGTGAAATATTACGGAAGTTATTGTCAAAATACTGTAAAAACAGTTGTTATGCTCAATGCAAAATCTTTGTGAATTCCGTTTTTTCTACAGTGGATGTGGGTGAGTTGACGACGGCGAAAAAATACAGTATATATTTGAAGCGTAGCAGAATTATTGAACAAGAATTTGAATATCAAAAAATTAATAATATTAATACAATGGATCAAAGCAAAGGTGAAAAAATATTTAATGCCTATTATACGTATATTCATTAGCATTTAATTTGGGAAAGTCAAAATTCAAGATTTGCAAGGTTTAACTCTGCTCAATGCAATGTATTCTGCAAAAAAAATTTTCATCTATAAAAACAGTTATGCCAGGTTAGGTTAAATCTGTATTTTATGGACTGTGAGCACAAAGGCATTCTGAAATGGAAATTGTTTCCTAGAAGCTATCTCTTCATTGATTATTCTTTATTTTCTTTTTTAGGAGCTATGTGTGTGTGTAACAAGTATATTAAATCAATAAATATTAATATACAAATATATATAAATTCTTTTATGCTTTCAAAATAATTTGTTGCTTTTTGGACTATTACTCTTTTAAAACCTCTATATGTTTATTATCAATACTTCTACTCTCGCTGTCTCATTACAAATATTCTTTTAAACAATTTATTGTTTAGAATCACGACTCAATCACCTTCTTGAAGAGTTTGTGCAGGAACGGGAAAACTCTATTGAATGTCACCGCCAACACTATTCTTCGATAGTGCTTTAAAATTCTAAAAATGTCACCACCACCTTATATTCACATTAATAATAAAGAAGAAGAAAGGGTCACTGGTCACGCTGATTCGTAAACATAGCGATAAGCTATAGGTTATCTGTCACACTATAATTCGCGATATTATTAGTATTAGTGACTGATTTTTTTTAAAAAAATAATAAAAATGAAAACTTCCTTCATTTGCTAATTTATCAATACTAAACAAGTCGTTTGCAAATGTGGTAAATCTATTTCACTTGAAAGGAATTACCAAGTTGCAATTTTAAAAGACATTCATTCAGAGAGTAAAAATTGTAATTTTTTGTGAACAGCCAGCCTTGCATTGAAGCACCTAAAAATATTCAAGATTATTTATTTCCATTCATTTATTCATCTATGATTAAAGGTCAATCGGATGGATCAGTTGAAAAGATTTTTTCATATACAGAATAAGTTTACAAATTTCGATTGTTAAAAAAATCAACCAAGTCCTTTTCTTTTTGATTAAAAGGAAAAATATTCTTTATAAAGAAGGATCCTCGTGATAATAATTTTGTGAATCAAAAGTTATTTACGAATTTCAATTGCTAATTAAGCTTTTTTTTTCTTGATAAAAAAAAATCTTTTCCTCGTATTCCATTTATTCCAGGTCAAGATCAACCAAAAATCTTTTTTTTAAAGTCTAAGGATAAGCATCGAACGAATTTCAATTGTTTAAAAGATCTTTTTACGTTTGTCAGATTAATATTTAAATTTTATTCGTTTTCTCCAAAAGGAAATTTTCATTAATATAATCATTGTTTTCTCGGAAGGAAAATTTTTTCTTATCCAGTAATTCAACATTTCTCGAACGGTCAAAATCATTTAAATTAATAAAAAGTCTTTTGAATCTCAGTCTCGTGACCAGTTAATATTGATACTAACACATTGTGTGACAAGTCTTTGACGATCCAAGGCAATGCCATCAGTTTTTTGTCATTTCTGACCATTTCAAACGGTCCAAAACGTCAGAGTAAGACGAAGATCTGACAGTAGACAACAGACATCACACAAAAACATCTAAAGTGAAACACGATTTCCAGCAAGCATCTGTTTCTTTTTTTCAACCCTGACGTTTTGAACAAAAATCTTCTGTTGCACGAAATACGACGAACAGATAGATAGTAATAGTAACGGGAATTCACATAGTAAAAATAAATAACCCATTCATCATTTTTTTTTTTTTCAAATTTCAATTTTTGACAATTTCTAAAAAGTCCAATTTACAAATAATTTCGAGCCAGAGCAGTAAAAAAAGAAAAAAACGACTCATTACAAGTTTGACTCAGCACTAATATTAACATTTTCCAAAATCGGGCAAAATTACAGACTGGAGAAAATGCCGAAACCTATACAAGAATTACGACATTTAGCAACACAGCAACCTTTTTATAGTTAAAAATGTTGACACAAGAAATTTTTTAAATTTTGCCGTTAGAAGAAAACCCTTTTAATTTTATAATATTTATATGCTCAAAATATAAAAAAAAAGTTTGGGATTTTTCAATATTTTGAAAATTATACCTTCAACATATAGAATATTTGAATAAATATATCCGAAGTAATAGGCAAAGAAGAACAAGAGTTAAAAGACGAGGATGAAAATTGAGACAAATGAAAAATCCGAGAAGCTTATTGATTATTTCTGCTTTACATTTTGTTGACAATAATAATGTTAAAAAATTTAGGGAAATGTAAATAACAATTTAAAAAGTGAAAAGTATGGTAGAAAGAGGTTATTTAACGCTTAATAATATTATGTAATTGAAACACGGGCTGGATATGTTGGAAGCATGACAATGTGTTGTCAAGCCTCGTGTTTAATTAAATATTTATCTTTTTTTTTTGATGTTTATCGTATGTTACTAGATATCTGATCGTTGAAATATACTGCTGATAATACATAATCTTTAGACATAGCCACTTATCAACCTTCTGAATTTCTTATTAATATTATTTAAAACGAAATCCTGCGTTCGAAACTGAGTTTAATTAATAAATTTATCTATTAAAAGTATTAATCGAGGCTCTCTTCCGGTATTATTGCCATAAATTTATAAATATAATAAATAAATAATAATAATACTAAAGAAATATTATATTCGAGTATTTGGAAAAAAAAAATTTTATTGAAAATGATTAATTTTGACTAAAACAAAGTTTATTCAACTCGGCAATATTTCGTTCAACGTTGAGTTGAGAAGTTCCTACACAAGTAAAAAGTTTACCCAAAAGATTATAAATATCATAGCTACTAATTTATTACCATTATCAAAAGCATGGTTTTGTGGTAAAGTGTTAATTGCAAAAACCTTTTGCTTCTATTTTGTTCCATTTGATTAATACGTTTTTCAAGGCGTGTCAAAAGCCAAACAATATTGTTATTGGTTTCGTAAGAAGGATTATTTAATAATGGAGTCGAGAGTAAAGGTCTCATGTTATTGCCTTCGCCACCGACAATAGTAGTTGTAGTGCAGTCTTTTACGGTGTTATTGGTGATGTTGATAGCAGCAGCGATATTTTGATAATTTGAAAATGTTTGGATATTTTGGTGATAATTGTAGAAATTGTTGCGTAAAAAATAGTATCATGTTTTGAATATTGATTTTGATGGTGATAATGATAATTTATGGTATTATCCAAAGTGTTTCAATTAAAGGAAGTGTGTGATGGTTGTTTTGATTATTATTATTATTATTAATTTGCTCGTCGTAGGTTGATCTCTATTATAAATATAATACTAATTTTTATAATAATTATAATTTTATGACATTGAAAATTTTAATTAAAAGAACAAATTATTAAGAAAAATTTTTTTCCATGAAGTGAATGCTTTATAGCGGTAGCCGACGAATTCGTTGTCATCATATCTATATGTAGCAGTCCTAGTCAAGGCAGAGATGCCAGAGACTGCTCTAATTAAGGATATGACAACAACAAAACAGACGGCATTATTGTTGTTGTTGTTGTTTGTCAAAGAAAATCGAAAAGAATTTTTTTTTTTTACGGGGCAGTCATTTTCTTTTTTATTTGTGTAACTAAAATTATGTGACATTACCTCATCGTAGTAGTTCACCATGAAACCAACCTTTCACCGTTACCTAATAAACCAGGCCCCAAAAGGTATTAAGATTTAACACCTGACATTCAAACATAGATAAAAAGTAAATGGTTATTACCCATTGTAATAATCCAAAAGGAAACCACCTGATGTAATTGCATGTTCGAAACCCTCAGAACCATTTTATAAGTTATTTGTATCTCTATTGAGATTACTAGAGGAATTATTGGTGGAATTTTTGTTGTTTTTCTTTTTTAATTTTTCTTTTTTAGTAATATTTAAAGAAATTAATAGTTTTATTAATAGAAAAAAAAGCAATGATTTGCTTGATCAAAAAAGTAAACTGTTTGCTAAGATCTCAATTTTATTATCTCAATGTCAAAACCTCATAAAATTCAAATTAGCCAATCAGAATCTTGTATTCAAAACACCCACTCGAAATTAATCAAAATTTGATGGTATGGTAGATAAAATCATTTATTGACAAATATAGGATCATTCACCAAAGTATTATACTAAAAAAAAAATTTAAAGTAGGAGAAAAATAGCGTGTGTCGTCCCTTGTTTAAATTAAATAGCGTTATATAACATTGTTATATTGTTATAAAAAAAATTATATTCCATCATTAACACTGCCCAAATATGTACATATTAATATAAATTATGTATAAAATAAACAACGTAACATATTCAAATTTTCAAAAAAAAAAAAAAAAAATTTACATAGGAAAAAAAATTCAAAAACAAATCGAATATCACAAAATTATTATTATTTATTGCAAGTATGAATGATTATAATTATAATAGAGATCCCTCTAATTTAAATTTCTCTGCGCTTCCAAGTAATAATCAGAATGATTCCTCTCCACTTCCTCTAATCAATAATTCTCATCAACCAAAATTTCTACCATCACAACAAAATATTCAAGCATTTTCAAATTATCAAAGTATCGCTGCTGCTACCAATATCGTCAATAATACTGCAAAAGTCGACACTACAACTACTATTGCCGCCGGCGACGTCAATAACATGGGACCATTAGTCTCGACTCCGTTATTAAATAATATTCCTTACGAAAATAATAATAATATTGTTTGGCTTTTGACGCGTCTTGAAAAACGTATTGATCAAATGGAACAAAATAGAAAAAATAGTAACCAAGACATTTTTGGAAGCAACAATTTATGCAATGAAATTAGTAATAATGACATTTATAATCTTTTGGGTAAACTTTTCACTCGTGTGGAACGGTTAGAAAATTCTCAAATCAACGTTGAACAAAATCTTGCCGAGTTGAATAAATTTTGTTTTAATCATTTTCAATAAATTTTTTTTTCTTTATATTTTATTTATTTTATTTCTTAATATTAAAGTAAATTAGCATACATTTTTTTATTATTATCTTGGTGAGTGTCATTATCTCTTCTTTTCTTAATTTATTGATATGATCATAAGAAAAACCTAAGTAATAGATATTGATGAATCGCTTTTTAATCAAAATGGTTCATCTATCCATTTTACATAGATCGTTATTTCTTTTATTTACATCTTTTTTTCCATTTATATTTAAAAGAACATGAAAACTATTAAAATTTTCAAAAATCAAAATCATATTTATAATAGGGGTTCTAACTAATTAATTATTCCAGAAATTATTATTTCAAATAAAATCAATATGTAAAATCACTATTACATACACAACAACTTCCACTTCCATATTCACCTCTACAACTATTTTCAAATACCATTTCTGCTACCAATATTGCGTACATCAACACCGCAAACACCACCATTGCCTGCGGCAACAATATGAAACCTCAACCTATTATTAAATGAGTCTTCTTCTCTTGCAAAATTATTTGGCTCTTGAAAAACAAAAATCGAAACAACAACAATTTATCACGAAATAATAATCACGGCCATCATCACATTTTATAATAGCGATAGTAATGATGATATTTATAGTCTTTTGGGTAAATTTCTTTACTCTCAATGATGATCGAGGTTGTTTTAATGAACATAAGATTCTTATTATTAACTTATTATTATTATTATATTATTATGAATCCTACACATAAATAAAATTTGAAGGCATCGCGTAATTGCCATATGATTAAATTTTTGGAGATAAAATGACATCATGTGGAACCACCACCATTCAATTTTTTACTCCTTAAAAAAATTTTTGTTTTTGAAAAACAAAAATATGGATGGAAAACCATTAGCAGATTATTTAAAAAATTTTGAAAAATTATTGGAACCAGATAATAATAATTATGATGTCAAAATTTTTATTCACGAAGAAGAAAAATTTGTCATAGAATTCCTTGCACACTCTGTGATCCTACGTGCTCAATGTCCATTTTTTAAAAGTGTTCTCTCTAATACAAGTAAAGAACTTGGTGGATATTATGTTATTAATAAATCTAATATTAGCGAACTTACTTTTAAAGCTATTCTCAAGTAAGTTTGTTTAATAAATTAGTTAATAAAAATATTATTTATCCTCTTAATTTTTTTTTTTTTATATCATAATAATATTAATTTTAATTTTTTTTGAAAGATTTATATATACAAGTCAAATTGAATTAAACAATTATATTGCTATTGATGTATTGAACTTATTAATTGCAGCAAACGAATTTGATCTTGAGTCACTTTACAATTATACAATGAAATATTTTATTAAAAATCATAAAGACTATTTAAATGATAATGCAGTTAAAGTTTTACGATTAATCTACACAAATGAAAAAAAATTTATTGAATTAAAAAATGTTTGTTTAGAAAAAATATGTGCTGATGGAGAAAAACTATTTGAGTCAAGTGAATTCTTATCGTTGGAAAAACAAATTTTATTAGGAATTCTTAAAAGAGATGATTTAAATATTGAAGAAATAGATGTTTGGCAAGGAATTCTTAAATGGGGTTTAGCAAGACATCCAGAAATCAGCAATAATAAAAATGTTGAAAAGTGGACAAACCAAAATTTTACCGATTTAGGAAAAACATTAAAAGATTTAATTTTATTAATCAGATTCAAGGGTATCTCTAACAAGGACTTTCGTAATAAAATCAAACCATATCGGAAGCTTTTTCTTTTCCCTGAGGATGAGGGTTTGGAATTATGGGAAAAAATTTTAGATTATTATTTATGCCCTGATGAAGAAACAGCCTCAAATTTATTACCACCACCAAGGATTCGAATTCCAAAGCCTGACTTGACAATAATTATCAATCAAAAGCTTACTTTGCTTTTTGCAAGTTTGGTTGATAGAAAAGATTCACCATACACTTCATTTAATGATGTCAAATACAAATTCAAACTTTTATATCGCAGTAGCAAGGATGGTTTAGATGCAGATTTATTTCATCAAAAATGCAATAATATTAACAAAACTCTTGTAGTTGCCAAAGTACAAAATTCAGAAGAAATAGTTGGTGGCTACAATCCTCTTGATTGGAATGGAAAAGGATATAAAACCACTGTTGAAAGTTTTATTTTTAATACAAGCATTATAGATACTGATGCTGCGCAATTTAGCTATGCTGATGATAAACAAAAACAAGTTAATGCAATTTGGTGTGGTAGTATTTATCTGCCTATTTTTGGTAGTGGTAATGATTTATGTTTTAATACACAAGAGAAAATAGTCAGTTATCCAAGTACTTATAATAACATCAATATAGTAAATGGTAGTAAATTTGATGAATTGCAAGTTTTTCAAATAATTGATAAAAATTAAAAATAATCCAATTCTGATATTTGTATCATTTATTACGTGTAGTTAGTATTAGTACCTTATTATTATGATAATAAATACTTTTTTTCTTTTTTTGAATAACATCACGTCATATATCATTATACATGGGCACGCCATGCTGGACAAAAGATATCAGTAGTAATATTGTGAACAATTACAACGCTGCTGCAAAGAATTTCTTTACCATTCAACAAAAATCTTTTAAATGAAAGAACCAAGTAATTGAAGACAATAATGGTAGTACGTATTTTTTTATATAATAATCATCAATAAATAATAACATTAGCAGGATCTGATTTAATTTATAATATATATACAAGTTAAAAAGAAAAGGGAATTTTGTTTTTTTAGAGATCATTTTTGATTAAAGTTTCATTAATGATTATTACTGTTTTTATAAATTAAGTAATAAATAAATAAATGCTTAAATAAATCCGCTTTGGAAGCTTAGTACATCTTGTCTTTAACATTTACTTCGCCTATATAACTATTGAATAATTGATAACGTTCATCGAGTATAATAACTTGGAAAGATTTTTTAATAAATATAATATTAAATAATAATAAATACAGGTTATACTCACTCCGGTGATTATGTAGAAGAACCATATTATAGTAATGGTGAGACCTAACTTCATAACTGAGAAGTGATCCACATTAAACCAGATGCATCATTGCTTGACTCATTTACCTAAATAATAAAAAATGATAAGGTTTAACAACTTGATGGTAAAAGTTTATTCGTTTATTTGAAGAAATCCTAATCTTTATTATCATCCTCAAAAAGACGATGATTCGTTGTCGTCATTATATAAAAAATATTAATGTTTTTATAATATAAGATATAATCTATTATTTACAAAAGTATAAATGTTTGCATATTATATAAAAAACCATATTTACCATCCATTACTGTCTTCAATATAAAAATTTTTGTTGAATGATAAAAGAATAAAACCGTTTTTTGTGAATTTCTCTAAAACTTATTAATCAACACTCCCGTAAAGCACCAGCCATTTGAGTATTTTTCACACCTTCTCAGCCACTATCAAGTCTTTTGAAGCGAGATTGAAAAATAATCTCAGCTTTGAAGCGAAAAAAAAATAATAACATTTTTGAATAGTCGTGGATTTAACAATTCTGTAATTCTTTTGCAGCAACGTTGTAATTATTCACAGCATTGTTACGAACTTTTACAGCAATTGTTGTAATATGGTTGGCTCGGTCTAAAGACCTCCTATTTCTGCGCCACGTGGCCAAATTTCAAAAATAGCAATTTTGTAAT